GCCCCCCCCCCCCCCACTCCACACCGCTCCCTTAGGCCCCGCCCAGAGGCGATGCGGACCGGGGGGCCGGGTTCCTTCCGCCGGAAACTGCTCTCGCGCGGCTTTGCAGCCAATGGGGCCCGAGCGGAGGGACGGTTTCCTGAGATCCTAGAGACTAGGCAGTTCCGGCGGCGCCGCCTCCGCGCCCCGGCTCGGGCTGCAGGTGGAGGAGGAAGCTCCGCGCTCAGGGGGCGGGAAGCGGCGCTGGAGCCGGAGCTGCCGCAGCCAGGTGAGGAGGCGCTCGCTGTCCCCGGGGGCAGTCCTCCCTGGCTCCTTGCCGCATCCCCTTCCCGAGCTGCAAGTCCTGAGACGCTGGCCGCCCCCCGCGAGGGAGTGCAGGGCTGCGCTGTCTGAGCCGGGCGGGTTTGCTCTTTCCCTCATCGCTGCCGCGGCCCCGCAGCTGCAGGAGTTCGCGGAGCCTCCTTCCTCTCTCCCTTCAGGGGGTCACCCCTCGCGTTGTGGAGCCCCCGAGATGCGCTGCGACCCCGCTCGGACCTGCAGCCCCGGCCAGGTAGATGAAAGTGTCCCTCCTCCCTCTCGTGTCGGCTTCCCAGCCCCCGACAGAGCCGCTGCGGTGCTGTGTGCGGCTTCGCCCGTCCTGAGGATCGCAGCCTTGGCTGAAGCGCTGTGCTGTTTGCTGGGCACCGCACTCACGCCCCAAATGTTCATTTTGCGAAGCGTTGTTTTGAAGTGTCTGTATCCAGATCTCAGCCTGCCCAGCTTGACCTGGGCTTCTCTGTCAAGGCCGTGCCCAATGGGGGACTTGTTTTGTGTTGGTGTAAATCATAGAAATCAGATAATGAGAGCTGGATGGGACCTCAGGAGGTCATCTAGTCCAACCCCCTGCTCAAGGCAGGACTAGCCCCAACTACTTCATTCCTGCCAAAGTGTTGTATAGCTGGGTCTTAAAAGCCTCCAAGGATGGAGATTGCACCACCACTCTGGATAACTTGTTTCAGTGTTTCACTACCCTCCTAGTGAGAAAATTCTTCCTAATATAATCTAAACTTCCCTTGCTGCAACTTGAGACCATTGGTCCTTGTTCTGTCATTTGCCACCACTGAGAACTGTCTAACTCCAAATCTCTATAGGAATAGGACTGATCTTTACTAGTGGTCAGCCCACTCTTTTGCTGCCCAGAGGTTTCGTTCAGCATCACCAGTCTCTTCCAGGAGCGTTTGGGCTTCATGTATAAATGGTTTACGACTTAAACTTCTTAAGCCTCCGTCTGTTCAGGTCTTCAGTTAACAGTTGAGGGCACAGGTGATTTTCATCATCTTTTGCCTCTGTTGCCAGTAATGAAGTCAGGGTTTGTTTTGGGTTTTTTTATGTATCACTTGGTCTGAGACCTGAGAATACAGGAAGTGCATCTGTGTGTGTGTAAGTTGTGCAGCTGGTTATGAGTCTCTGCGCATGGTTAAGTATAGTGTTGAGCAATAAAGTCTCTGCACAGGTAGCTGCTTTGAGATGTTTAACCAGCACGGCGTGGGGTGCTGACTTCAAAGTGCTCACTCAGAACCACCCAACTCACAATAGTACAGGGGCGGGCAATTATTTTGAGCAGAGGGCCACTTACCCAGTTTTGGCAGGCTGTCAAGGGCCTTTGGCAGGTAGCCCCACCCCTTGACAGGTGCCCCGCCCCTTGACAGGTGCCCTGCACCCTGGTCACCATCTTGGGATCAGCATCCCAATGTCTTGGGACCAATGTCCCAGGGCCAGCACCGGTGGGGCCCAAAGCAGGGCGCAGACTGGCAGGGGTCCGTGGAGCTGGGCTGGGCTGCACCAACAGGGAGTGGGGAGCTGGCCCAGCTCCATAGAGCCCCTGCTGGCTGGGACCCCACGCTCCTGTCACCCTGTTCTGGGCCCCACTGGTACTGGCCCTGGAACAAAGGTGTGGGCCTTGTGCTCCTACTGCCTTCCTGCCTGCTCACACCCAGTACCCCCAAGCCCCGTGGTACAGGCGGGGGGCAGCACACAGCCCCGACCCCCTGCTCGCCAGCAGGGAAGAAGCTGGTGTTGAGCGTAGGGAAAAGTGGCCCCTCACCTGCCCCATGGTTGGCTCCCCGCATTGCAGGCACTTGCAGCCCACGTGGGGTTGTCCAGAGCAGGCGCAGGCAGCCCCGGGCAGGCTGCGCGAGCGGCTGCAGCGTGGGGCGCCGGCCATGGGGTGGGCGAGGGGACACTTTTCCCCACACTCAGCACCAGCTTGTAACCTGACCCCACTACCAGCCTGGCAGTGGGGAAGGGTTACAAGGTGTTGCAGAGTGGAGGGGGGAAGGAAGCAGTCCCACCCCATGCTTGGCGCCCCGCGCTGCAGCCTGCCTGGGGCTGCCTGTGCCTGCTCCAGACAGCCCTGCACGGGCTGCAAGTGCCTGCAACGTGGGGAGCCAGCCATGGGGCGGGCAAGGGGCCGCTTTTCTCCACGCAGGGAAGGAGCCCAGGGAAAAGCTGAGCACGGGGTGGGGAGGAAGCGGCCCCGCCCCACGCCTGGTGCCCCACGCTGCAGGCGCTTACAGCCCACATGGGGCTGTCCGGAGTGGGCACAGGCAGCCCCACACGGGCTGCAAGCAGCTGCAGTGCGAGGCACCAGGCATGGGTGGGGAGGAGCCGTTCCCCTCCCCCCTGGCACTTCTTCATTGCCCGGGGTCCCCCCCTCGCCACTTACCTCAGCTTCCCAAGCCAGGGCAGCCATGTTCTCCCAGTTCAGAAA